ATTATGCAAACAAAAAAAGAAACAAAAGAAAAACAAAAGAAGAACAGTGACAGATAAAATAAAAATAATACATGGCTATCAAAGAAGAGAAGACTGGGAGAGAATGCTTTTAGCATTAAGTCCGCCATGTACACATATTTGTACTAATAAATAAATAAATAAATAAAGAAGGTTTGCAATCTTCAACATTAGTAGTAGAATGAAATTAGTAGTTGTATTAAATTTGTAGTCGGATGAAATTGATAGTTCGATGAAATTAGTAGTCGGATTAAATTAATAGTCGGATGAAATGGATAGTTCGATTAAATTAGTAATCAGATTAAATTAGTAGTCGGATGAAATTGATAGTTCGATGAAATTAGTAGTCGGATTAAATTAGTAGTCGGATGACATTGATAGTTTGATGAAATTAGTAGTCGGATTAAATTAGTAGTCGGATGACATTGATAATTCGATGAAATTAGTAATCGGATTAAATTAGTAGTCGGATGAAATTGATAGTTCGAGGAAATTAGTAATCGGATTAAATTAGTAGTCGGATGAAATTGATAGTTCGAGGAAATTAGTAGTCGGATGAAATTGATAGTTCGATGAAATTTGTAGTCGGATTAAATTAGTAGTCGGATTAAAGGAAGTATTGAAATTGATAAGGAAATTAGTAATCGGATTAAATTAGTAGTCGGATGAAATTGATAGTTCGAGGAAATTAGTAGTCGGATGAAATTGATAGTTCGATGAAATTTGTAGTCGGATTAAATTAGTAGTCGGATGAAATTAGTAGGCGAATGATTTAAAACTCATTCGAAAAATCTAAATGAATTGCTCAGTTGAATAATTAGTAGTCTCATTAGTAAAGTCGCGCATCGCTATATGATACTAATATTATAAAAAAATAAATGTAGTCGATCCACTTCTTTGAAATATTTATATAGTGCTTAATTTCACACATAATAACAATAAACATTTAACAATGAAAAATAGACAAAAATGAAAAAGAAAAAGCACTAAAATGGTACCATGTTCTATTAAATGATGACGGTGATTTTCAGTGGCACCAAATTTTTGGTTAAAAAAGAAGGGCAAGAAATTAAATAATTTAATTAAGTGAAAGAAAATGTTGAATGTGATGTTGTACGGGAAATTCAAGGGCGGTCCGGGGCAAAGCCCTTTGGTAAGAGTTACATAAATCAGTTGCCCCGACAATTTCAATTTATCACATTTATTTATAGCCATCCGTGTCCGCAACTTCGTCGCATGTAGGTAAATAGAATTTTCAAACTTCGTATTCAGTCTATTAGAAGTGTAACCAGGGAAATTTTATACATACATATGTACTTATATATATATACTAGCTGACTCGGCAAACGTTGTTTTACCATATACATTATTTTTAGAACTATACATGAATATAGGGGACGGTCACCTTTATCATTGAGGGGTATGAAAAATAGATGTCGGCCGATTCTCAGACCTACTCGATATGCACACAAAATTTCATAAAAATCGGTAAAGCCGTTTCGGAGGAGTTTGGTAACAAACACCGTGACACGAGAATTTTATATATAAGATATACTCGTATTTCTCTAAGGGATTTATAGAATTTTATTGATAAAAGTTATGTAAGTATACTTTTTTTTTTCATTTTTGTAATCGGTAGGGTTTACTTCTATATTTCAATGACATAATGAATTATGAATGAATTAATGAATTGACGAATTAATGAATGAATTAATTATTTAATGAATTAATTATTTAATGAATTAATGAATAATGTGCATACTGTAGTGATTACAGTTTTCGGAAAAACTTGTATGTTCCGGAACAATATCTACTTCTAAACATGATATCTTATATTTAAGTTTTATTTGCATTAGTACTTCTATCCTTTCCACGCTTCTGCCGCGAAGTTGCTCTGCTTGCATGGCTATTTTTAAAGGGTGGGGTTTTTTTTTATGCAACTTAGAATGGCAAACAAGCTGACGGCCCACCTGATGGAAAATGGTCACCGTCGCCTATAGACATGAGCAGTACCATGGACATAACAGAGTGTACTGTTTCGCCCATGATATTATGGTTATGGATAATTACAGATTATGGATTCTTAACACCATAAATCTTAAGAATGGCAACGTAGAAAGAATATCATGGGTATCACTGCATATTCTGTGACATACATGCTGTGCTGTTCATGTCTATAGGCGACGGTTGTATAATGGATGATAATGGTATGGTAACCCCGCCTGCGCTATAGGTATACGCTATCGGGGCACCAGTGAGGAATGATAAGTGAGAATGACAAGGTAGGTCAGTTAGCCCATCGTGATGAATACACCTGAAATTCAGCACGATGGTTTCCAGGGGGACCAGGTGGAGGTTGACCTGATGTATTGCTAGTAATGGGATTGGTGGTCCATATTACTAGCAATCTCTTTCCCCACCCTACTCATATAGGCGACGGTTACCACTTTCTATCTGATGGCCCGACAACTTGTTTGCCATTCTAAGTTGCTTAAAAAAAAAAAAATTTTCATGTAAAGTATCTGTATATTGTCTTTTGTCGTTTGACAAATATTACTCATAAGTCTGTAATTGAAAAAAATCTCTTTTTACCTTAAAATATATTTTTAAAGAATAATTTAATTTAAAAAATATCGTCAGTTGTAAACCGTCTTCGAAAATTCTTATTTGTTACCTTAAAGCATATACTTATAGATCGATCCCATAGAAACTTTTACCAAAATTCATTTAATAGTTTAGTTTTTAATTAAAAATAACCGGTTTTTTTAAACCCAATTTATATATTGAACATAATTTGATTTTGTTCCAAAATAGTGTTCTTTCTAACAGTCTTTTAGTTAGGAGCATAAAAACATTTGATAAATTGACTTATTTTTTCATACGACTTCCAAATTGGCGTCATTTTGTTCAGAATACTATGAATTATTCATACAACATGTTTACAGCTACGCAAAATAATCAAAACGAGATTTATGACTCGTTCGTATAATCATGTCAACATGTTTGCATGTGATTGACATAGAAAAGGTCAATCGATCAATCAATCATTGTTACAAACTCCTTAGTTCTTTTATAGATTTTATTTTTATTATATTTTTATGCTTTTTTGTTTTACAATTGTCTCATTGCTCTTTCTTGCTTTCGTAGTATTTCTTCTGCAGTTTTCTTTAATACGAATATAGTTACTTTCTTTTAAACCCATTGTTTAATGACATTAAATTCTTCAATACACAGTCCATATATCGTCCACAATCATTAATGTATTACATACTTATAGTGTAAATTTAAATAATTATCATACAAGTGAAACTAAACGTTGTTTTTTTTTTCATAAAGACGTAAATCGAGAAACGACAGAAAGCGTTATTAGAAGAAATGGGAAGATCATTTTTTTTATGTTTATTGACCTTTCTTTTTAACCAACATCAGATTGTATTTATGGTTGTTACCTCGTACATCCGTCAGTTCAAGACCGATTTGGAAAATTATTTTTTTTATCTGAAAGTATATACTTACAGATTGGTCTCATAGTTTTTTTTTTTTTTTAATTTGCTCAGTCGTTTAGTGTTTAAATCAAAATAACTGGTTTTATCGCAAGTGAAGTCGGTTTCTTCTGTAGAAAACATTCCTGAATAATTAGGTTGTTATTATTGTTTTTGTGTTTTATATTACATTTTTATATTTCAATTTATTAAGAGAAAGGTGTTTTATTGTTATAAAGCTTTGTAAGTAAATATTATATTTGATTGTTTTGACTTCTCGTTTAACTTACGTATAATTTGGTCACAGCCGCTCAAGACTTAGGGTCTCTAAAGAAATTGAGATTTCTCGACTAAATCACACGTAAGTTAAACCGACAGTTATTACATTAAAATATAATAGAAAGATAGTTAAAAGACGATTAGATGATTGAATATTGATTATTTTAGTATTTAAGAACCTGCTTTCCTATCGTCGATGAATTTTCATGTATATTTCTCGAAATAATATATATGGTAAAACAACTTTGCCGAGTCAGCCAGTTATATAATAAAATTGGTATAATATTAAAGTTAAATAACCTATTATATATCAGCATTAAATTTTCAAAGCTCAATTTTCAGATATAGAGTTCAATTTAAATATAATTCAGTGAAATATAATATTCTACAGCATTCGAATATTTCTCCGAGTCATCCAATTCGAATAAAGTCTCGATTCTTTTTAATGAGTGCCAAAATACTGGAAAAGGTCGACTCGTCGTGGAGATTAAGTTAAAATAAAAGAAGAATTAAAAAATCAAAGGAAGTGCGCCATTTTATACATCGTGAACTGGAAAATACCTTTTTCGTTGTGATCCTACGAGAATTACGCGCGATTACAGCTAAATGTTGTAAATTCAAAACAATATTGCTAATATAAAAGGTCGTAATACAGACCTTTTCTCTGAGCATCACAAAAGGGCCGGGCGTTACCGAATGAGCTTACGGGATTAGGAACAATAACTTGCATATAATGGCCTTTATATCTAAAACATTAGGGTTGCTAATAATGTGGCATTAACTTGACAGGACAGGATTATAACGCATAAACAATATTTTTTTTATATACCTAGCGCCTAGCTGATGATAAGCAACTGCTTACCATCAGCTGTAGAGTAACTACCCTAGCCTGTGAACGCCTGTAATACCAGGGGCATTACGCGCGTTGCCGACCCTAAAGAAACCTCTTTACCCTTTTTTTGAGGAACTCTATGCTGTAATATCTTGGAAAACCCCAACAAGGAGCTCATTCCATAAGCTGAATGTCAGTGGAAAGAAACATCTCTTATTCCGCGCTGTACGCGACCATCTAGGCTCTAAAGTATGGAGGTGAACTCCCTATTACTGAAAAAAATTATGATGTAACTATAGAGAAGAGAAAACATTACGACAATTCCAAATATCCCTTGTCATGTTAGTAATAAACGATCTTTCATTCATATTTCCTTATGTTTGTTCCAGATTGTGCAATACGATTACGTGCGACACGTAGCGGCCGCGTCCACTCCGGCCACCTGCCGCACACCCACGGGTGCCGCCTTCTCATCCCACAACCTTCGCCAAAAAACGCCTTACTCATCGAACTTCACAAACTCAACGTCCCCTGTTCATCGGGGTTTATCCGTTTCGCGCCAAACACGCCCACTCTGTGTGGAAAGTTGGAGCAGATACCCGTCCAAAATAGAAGGTTTCTGTACTCGACGCGTGCGAAAACCCCAGCGATAGAGCTGCACGGTCGACCCACGTTCGCCGCGATCTACCGTCTAGTGGACCACTGCCATGATGTCTTACTGACGGCAAGGAACGGCTCGTTCGAAGTCGGCCCAGCGATAAAGTTGCTGTGCTCATACAAAATTCATCTACCCTATGGTTACCGGGTCGCGCTGCGGCTACAAATGGGAACTGGACCAATGACGAATAGAGAAAATGATATATCTAATATTATACACGAAGATGCTCATGCTCTATGCAAAGGCATGGAGTTAAGTCTAGAAGATGGAGAATCGAAGTGGCGACACTGTTCGCAACCAGGTGATCCTTTAAGAAGTGTTCAAATTGTTTCCGAAGGGAATTCTGTTCGTTTAAATATTAGCATTTTAGAGAAGAAGAATTCTTCAGCGATGTGGCTGAAAGCGTGGTGGATGGATAAAGAAGTGGAAGAGATTGTAGGGCATTGCGACTACGGATGGGTCCTCTCGGGGGACTTCTGCATATCAGCTGTGAGGGAAGCGAAAAGAGCTTGGAGGCAAGCTGAGGCTGAATGTGTGAGGTTAGGAGGACATCTGGCCAGTATAGTGAATGAAAGGCAACAACAGATATTGGATCAACTGTTACTTCACGCGTAAGTTCTTTCATAAACGTATTGTATTAGATAAGTTTTATTTTATTTAGTTTAGCCACTTGAGTAGAGATCACTCGACACCCAAACTTTGTTGACGATCCCTTTAGTAAACTCGCCTTTTATTAGACTTATTTTTTACTAGTCAATCTTTATCTTATGCTTTTATTCTTCATCTACATATTCAGAAATTTCTAAACGATACAAAAATCTAACACTTTCAAACTAGCCCAGTTTCTAGGATCTGGGTTATTGGATATAGTTTTGTTTCGGAATACAGCAAATTCGTTCGGAGTAACAACCTTACGAGCGAAGCCATAATCGTTCGACCATTCTTGTCGCTTTGACTGGCCCTCTAGTATTTCTAGTGATATTCAATAATCTTTACCTTACTATTAATACTCTGTGGCTTACTCAGTGGGACGTTAATGGCTTGTTATTGTGCTATAAGACAATTGAAAAAGAGGTACTTACTACATTCATGAAACCAGCAGTAGGTAAAAGATAATTATTGGTCGATTAGCCCCACTGTGCAGACGGACTGAGTACTTTTCAATGCTATTCCTAAAAGATCTGAGTTTATAACTTATTATTTCGTTTTGTTACATCTATTCAATATAATATTAATTTATTATTTTAAAATATTTTTTATAGATGGAAAGTTTCTTTGACGTCTCGCCGACTGGTAGGATACCCAGAAAGCTGGTCGTATCGTTCCGCCTTATAGGGATTTACAATGCTTTACACAAAGTGTTGGCCAGCCTTCTGGTCGCCAAAGGTTTCTACTAACGTGTTATAAATACCGAGTCAACATCATGTCAGCCGTTAACTGGCCACTGTTGAACATAGCCCCTCCCCCCCCCCCCCCCAACATAGGCCTCCCCCATAACGGCGCTTTTGCCAATAATTGCCATGTTTAGCAAGCAGGTTAGCAATAGCAGTTAGGCTTTGGCCATGTTTTAAGAGGGACCCTGCTGCGACCATTAAATTCTTTTAGTCGCCTCTTATGAAACCCACGGGAAAGAAAGGGATGGTATATTCTATGCCGGGACCACGCAGTAATTGTAAAGATCTAATAGCTACAATCAGTGTGGATTTGTTTTAATTAATTCCTGTTATAATGTAAATGAAATGTTATGGCAGATTTTCTCGTCAATAGATTTAGCGCGAAGTTATTCCGCCCCTGGACATAATTCGGCTCTACAGATTATTTTAATTAAACCCAATTAACACAAAAGTTTCTTGTGAATATTTTCTTAAATAAAATATCAGATCACTCATTTATATTAGGTATCCGTAATTTTACCGATCTTTAATTAATATACAAGTCGTTTGCTTGAGTACCTCTGTCCCATTCGTGTTTCAACCGTAAAGCAGTTGTGTTTGCGTGGCTGTGTTTCGGTTTGAAGGGTGGGATATGGCGTGAATTTACAGGGTATCATAGGCGAAACAGTATACTCTGTTATGTCCATGGTACTGCTCATGTCTATAGGCGACGGTTACCTTTTTCCATCAGGTGGGTCGTCAGCTTGTTTACCATTCTAAGTTCTCAACCATACGTCTTACTTGGTTTGTTTTGGAATCCTGCAATGAGGAGGAGGGCGTTGGTATTCGCGACAGTTTTATGCTTCTGAGAATATCATCGTTTCTCAAAAATATCGTAATCAACAATTTTGTTCCAAATTAAGAATTATTATTATTATTAATCCCTTCTGTTTCCATCTCTAATAACTTGTATAATATATAATAATGAGTAGGGACATATATTTATATTATTACATGTATCACATCTCCATATTTAGAATTAACAGAATTTTTCATCGTGCCTCCCACCAAATTGTTAATAATTACTCCTCTCCATCCAAAGGTTGACTGGAAGAGATCGCATTTAGCGATAAGGTCGTCCATTGTTTTCTCATTGTGATTATTTCTTGTAATTGTTTATATTTATAATAAGTTAATGTAATCTTTTTGGAGGAAACAGTAAAGAGTATCTATCTATTTATCTATCTATCTATCTAATATCTCTATATGTGATTGACATATAGAGATATAAGATATTTTTACCAGAGGGAGACTTTGTACAAAAGTCGATTGCTTGGGTACCTCTATCCCATTCGTGTTTCAACCGTGAAGCAGTAGTGTTTGCATGGCTGTGTTTCGGTTTGAAGGGTGGGATATAGCGTCAATTTACTGGGTACAGAGGAATAACACCTGAGTCCTCATAAATGGTAACGCATGGGGGGTATCATGAGCGAAACTGTACACTCTGTTATGTCCATGGTACTGCTCATGTCTATAGGCGACGGTTACCACTTTCCATCAGGTGGGCCGTCAGCTTGTTTGCCATTCTATGTTGTATAAAAATACATGCGTCATTCCATTTCAGACCAGGCGCCGGGGTGGACGACGTGTACTGGATAGGAGCGACCGATGCCGTCCACGAGGGAGAGTTCCGATGGTCCGACGGTTTGCCGTTCTCCTATGCACGTGAGTGAGATCTATTATTGATTTGTCGTTTTATATTTAGCTAACTATACGTCCACTATATTGCACGAGTGGATTTCAGTATTAGGAAAATTAATGAAATTTTTCACTTCAAGATGGCGTATTAAGATGAAACATATACCAGATTTTAAGTTCGACCTTCTGGAATACAAATGTGAAAATTTCATCGAATTTGTTGAATGAATGAATGAATAAAAATTTATTTCAATAAAACATTCATTCATTCATTCAAAATTTGTTGCAGAAGTTTTTGCGTAATACCGGAACAAACATACAGAGAGATAGGCATGATTTCAAAAAAACAATTTTTAGCCTTGTATTGTTCTTATTAAGACCCCTCTTATTAGTCATTTTTAAATATCTCCCGTATACATACAATTTTATTATATTAACTAGCGGCCCGTCCCGGCGTCGCACGGGTGGACATTTCTCTTCATTGTTCTGCTCCTATTGATCGTAGCGTGATGAAAAGTATACTATAATCTGCCCAGGAGTATGAAGAATAACTGTACCAAGTTTCGTTAAAATCCGTCGAGTAGTTTTTATTTCTATAACGAACATACAGACAGATAGATAAAAATTTTACTAATTGCATTTTTGGCATCAGTATTGATCACTAATCACCCGCTGATAGTTATGGAAATATATTTCATATACAGAATTGACCTCTCTACAGATTTATTATAAGTATAAATGAGATTAACATAATCAGGGTGTCATTTTTAACACACTAAAGAATTTTAATACGTCAGTACATTGTCATTGTCAAAAGTAAAGTGTTTTGACAAGTTTTGATAACAAGTCATAATAAAATAACTCCACATAGTTAATTTAAACTTTCGCGTTGTTGACATATTTTGTTGTATAAAAACTAAGTTGTATAAAAACTTATTTACCAGAGGGAGACTTTTGTACAAAGTCTCCCTCTGGTAAATAAGTTTTTATACAACTTAGAATGACAAACAAGCTGACGGCCCACCTGATGGAAAGCGGTAACCGTCGCCTATAGACATGAGCGGTACTATAGACATAACAGAGTATACTGTTTCGCCCATGATACCCCCCATACGTTGCCATTCCTGAGGACTCAGGTTTTATTCCTCTGTACCCAGTAAATTCACGCCATATCCCACCCTTCAAACCGAAACACAGCCATGCAAACACAACTGCTTCACGGTAGAAACACGAACGGGACAGAGGTGCCCAAGCAAACGACTTTTGTACAAAGTCTCCCTCTGGTAAAATACATGTTAATAACGCGAAAGTCTAAAATTTATTATGAAATTTGTTATACACGCAGATACACGTAGATAGATAAATATATAATTTATTTGCGTTACTTACAGCACACAAATAACAACAGACACATACAGTAAAAAGAGATAAAAGAAGGCATATGCAAAAAAAAAGCAAAATATATAAAACAAGTAACAATTTTTCCTTTCGTGTATTCACTATATGGGATAGATAAAGACTATCTTTTATACGGGTCAATAAACATATATGTACCTGACAAACAAATGAAGTCATAAATAAAAGCTAGTAGATTTATAGTTAGACGTAATAATATTTATTTACACTTTATGGCATTATTTATAGAAATATTCTTCAATATGACGCCTACGGCCACTTTCTATCATCGTACGGCTCGCCATCGACAGAGAGATCACCCTCATACCCTACAGCCTAAATGGTCGCGTACAACGCGGTTTCAGAGATGTTTTCTCTAACGAACACTTAGCTTATGGAATGAGCTCCCTGCCGAGGTTTTCCTAAGAGACTACAGCATGGGGTTCTTCAAAAGGGGAGTAAAGAGGTAAAGAGGTTAAAAGAGGCGCGCGTAATACCTCTGGTATAGCAGGCGTTCATAGCCTACGGTAACCACTTACCATTAGGTGGGCCGTATGCTTGTTTCCCACCTCAGTGATATAAAAAAAAACAAATACTGTAAATTTTATATGAAAAATGATACAAAAGGTGGCCTTATCGTTAAGCAATCTCTTCCAGACAACCTGAATATAATAGTGTGTCAAATTTAGTTTGAAAATAAAAAAATATATATATTAAAGTATATTAAACTTGTGCTATATCTTGGTTATAAAATATATAAAGTAATATTGCCTCCATTCCGTGAAGGCTATCTCGATTGCTTTTGAGTCTGGATTGTCATCGAGCGTGAGTGAAGCGTTCGCGACTCAAGTACGCCTAAGCTTCAACCTTAGAAATTGTATTGGATTTAATCTTTTCTTTTCTTTGCGGTTTATCTATTTATTGTACTAATCTATTTTTATTTGCATTTAAAATTCTATTGATATAAAACTCAGTAGTTTAAACGGCAGTAAATTTAAATTCATTTAGATGTCGAAGGTATGGAAGCATTTCATAGAGTTTCAACAATTAGAGAGGCTTTAAAACGACAAACGCATCATTCAAATGATATATGTGCATGGTATTAGTCGATCATATCATCATCATCATCATTTCAGCCATTATCCATCCACTGCTGGACATAGGCCTCCCCCATAGACTGCCATAAGGAACGGTCCTGAGCCACCTGCCACACTGACTCCCTGCAATGCATTTGAAGTCATCACTCCATCTAGTGAGAGGGTCCGACAACCCTCCCACTAGAGGACCCTCCCGTACGGAGTCGCCACCTTTCTTCTTCATCGGTTATCGGTTCTTCGAGCTATGTGACCAACCAATTGCCACTTCAGCTTGCTTATTCTTCGGGCTATGTCGGTTACTTTGGTTCTTTTGCTGTTGGATATCCTCGTTTCGGATTCCTCTCACGATTGTGGTCAATCATGTACTGTTTTTTATGACCATCTAATTTAAGACACATTTTTAATACACATTTAAAAGAGTAACTGTTAAAATTCTTATGGGTTCTTTTTAGTAGATAACAACATTCCGAACCCTGAAACACATTAAAAACAAAGTTTTTTTTTTTATTCAATTCAAACTTAAACTGCTTAGTTTAAATACAAGGCAAAATAGAGGGCAAAAGGAGAGGAGGGAAGACCGAATAATAACTATATGGGACAGATAAAGGAAACACTAGATGTCATGTCGTATAGGGAGGTTAAAGATATGGCATAGAATAGAGCTGGCTGGAAGAAAATGCATGAATTAGTTGCACCGACAAAATGACATTCTTAAATGACAAGAGAAGAGAGAGAGAGATTTAAATAGATCGTTTACAAATACTTTTTAATCATATTTTTTTATAAATCTGCTGTAGGATTCAGAATGTTGTTATTCGCTGAGAAAAATTCAATAGAGACTCGAAATTTACTCTTTTAAAGCTCTGTGAACATTTATCATCATCTCAGCTTTCAACTGTCCACTGCTGTACATAAGCCTCCCCTAAGGGGGTTTCCCCAGTAGCTGCTCCGCTCGGCAGGCGGATTGGCAACCGCAGTTAAGTTTTAGAGATGTTTTAAGAGGGACGATGCTATCCATCCCTCGCCCTCTCTTAGTCGTCTCTTACGACACCCACGGGAAAGGAAAGGGTGGCCTATTCTATGCTGGGACCACACGCAAAACTGGACTGACTGACTGGACTGTCTGTTAACATAATGTTAATTTATTAAAATGTCTATCTATCTATCCTATTTAAGAGCTGCGCTCTTGTCGGTGGAACTCTTGCCACTCACTACGATTTTCAGCGAGTCTCTTCACCTCTTGATACGACACGACACCAACTCCTTCCTTGATCTGCCTGATGTAACTATGCCTCGGTCTCCCTCTTCCACTCCTTCCTTCTATCTTACCTTCTATTATAATGTTCATAAGTTCATCGTATCGTATCAAGTGTCCCAACATTTTTCCCCTTCTGTCCTCAATAGTTCTAATAATTTGTCTTTTTTCCTTAACCCTAAGCAGGACCTCCTCATTGCTAATTCGATTCCTCCAGCTAATTTTCTCCATCCTTCTCCAGTACCACATTTCAAAGGCTTTAAGTTTATCCATTTTCTTCTGAGTTAATGTCCACGTCTCACATCTATATAAAGCTATACTCCAGAGGTTTTGATAAGCCGCTTTTTAATATATTTTGTTATCTTAGCCTGTAAAAGGTATTTTTTGTTATTGAAGGCTTGTTTGTTTTAAAAAGCCTGTACATGATCGACTAACACCATGTATTAAGTAATCGTTTAGTATTTCCGAACCGATACAACAACATAACCTTCAAGAAAAGAGTATATTCCTTTTTAAAAGGCCGGCAGCACACCTGCAATGCCGCTGGTGTTGTGGGTGATCATGGGCGGCGGTAGTCACTTACCATTAAGTGAGCCGCAAGCTCGTTTGCCCCCTGTGTTGTAATATATATATATATATATATATATATATATATATATATATATATATATATATATATATATATATATATATATATATATATATATATATATATATATATTACATGTAGATAACTCACTAGAAACTTAAAAGAATATTAAAACATTCGATTTTAACCTGTATAAATATAATCTAGACAAGCATTTGCAAACTCAATAAATTATATATATAAATTTACGACTTGTAAACAATACCAACCATCAATGTATACTTATCCCATTTGGATAATGCGTCCGCAATGCCAGATGTCCCATAAAATGTTTGCCCCATAAATCCCCGGAACGACATCCTATCTCTTATCGGCTGTATTAATCCCAGACCGTCCTCAAACATTAAAAGGATGAATCGCAGCCACTAAAAGCACTTCGTGGAACAAAACAAAGCGAATAGTGGTATGGCCATGAACTGACGGCATACGTATTGCTACTACTACAGTTTTTTTTTATCTGTGGTATTTTTTATGAAGCATAGAACAACAAATAATGGGACCGATTCTGAGGCATCATTTTTCTAAACTTATCTCTCGACCTAATATTTCAATTTGATAATTTCACGAAATTACTGTTTAATGGCACATCATAAATAAATTTTATAATAATTTTTATTTAAATCTATTAGAA